AAGAAGGACTGGGCCTAAGCTTTGTATTCCTAAATGTGTTATATAGGCACAATGCCTATGAGAGTAACAATATCAATCTCACTTCAATATCAATAAGAAACTCGTACCAATGAAAACCTTAAATTTGAAATCAAGGTAAATTTTGTACCATTTAAGAAATTATAACTTCGCCGGGCGGTGGTGGCGCACGCCTTTAATCCCAGCACTTGGGAGGCAGAGGCAGGCGGATTTCTGAGTTCGAGAGTTCGAGGCTAGCCTGGTCTACAGAGTGAGTTCCAGGACAGCCAGGGCTACTCAGAGAAACCCTGTCTCGAAAAACCAAAAAAAAAAAAAAAACAACAAAAAAAAGAAATTATAACTTCAGCTTAATAACGATTATACAGATTTCTACCAATAGGTTATGGCTATGTAATAAATCCTAGCTATTCCTCCCTGTTCCAACAAAACCACTACTTCTAATCTTCTTTCATTGTCATTTTAAAATTACGTTCATTTATTTTGTGTGTGTGTATAAATTTGCATATGTGCACAGGAATGGCATGGCATGTGAGTAGGTCAATGAGCTAGTGAGAGTTGTTTCTCTTCCTCCATCATATAGGTACTGGGGGTTAGAATCATGCTGTCAGGCTTAGTAGCAGGTGTCTTTTTCCACAGAGCATTCTCTTGTTATTTATGGCAATGTCTATGATGTATGATGAAAATCCATCCTTTTCAGTACAATCTTGTTGGCATGTCATGCAATCTGCTTCCTGAACTCCTTCCCACCCTCAACATTCAGGATCTTGTACTCTTTTCTCCCCTCTGTTTATTGCTTCTCGATCAGTTGCTGCTTTCTCTAGTTCTCTGTCTGGATTTCTGAGGAGTGCTGTATCAGTTATAAGCAGCTTCATAGTGGACGGGCAAATGAACTCCTATAGAAGGAATATTTATCAAAGCTCTTGTCAAGCTTAACAGAAAATAACTGGTTGAGAATCTGGGACCAATATCAAAGTGATATTGCCAAACAGTTCCATTCATTATAAATTAGGTCATTTGTAGCAGTAGGTTATTTTAAACAAGTTGCACAAGGCTAAGTATTTTAGAGTTTTTAACTGATTTCTTTCTTCCTTGCAAATCACTAACTCAAAATCTATGGTGTGAAGCACTTTAAAAACCAGAGATTAAAATAATTCCAAGTGTACATCAAGACGTTAGCTTCTACTTTCCCTGAGTCTTATGTATACAACATTAGATTAATATCTAGATTTAAAAGCTAGAAAATTGCTGTGTGTAGTGGTCACATATATGATCCCAGATCTTGGTATGCAGAAGTAGGAGAACCAGGAATTAGAGGTCATCTTTGGCTATATAAGGAATTCAAGGCTAGCCTGGGCTACAATGAGATTCTGTCTTAAGAAACAAATGAACAAACAAAACAAACAAATGAATGAAAAAACTGAAATGAATGAAAAAACTTATTGGATGACAGCTTACAGGTCTGTTTGTGAGATTTCTAAGTGCATGCTAACTACTCTGGAGACTGAATCCCAACCTTCGCCCAGATTTAAAAAAGAGGTAAATAGCAATACAACTTAGTGTGATCACGGACTTGAGAAATGCTGTGGTAATCAGATGCATGAGTGAACACCTCTGAGGATCAGGGCCAAGTCTAAAAGCCAAAGAAGGATATCCTCAGATAGCAAAACCCAATAGAGGAGGTGATTCACGTGCCTAAAATTCCATTGTATGTATTTATGCACTTTCTCAGATTCTTTTCCAAAGAAAGTATACAGCTAAAAGAAAAAGAAAAGGGGGAAAAACCCAACCAAATATAGTCAGTACTGCTGTATATGATTTTAAAGCACATATAGTTTTCATTTTTTTAAAAAAAATACGGCGTGTGTGTGTGTGTGTGTATGTGTGCGCATGTAACATGAGTGGAGATCACGGGGAGACTTCTTTCCTTCGTCCATATGCATTCTAAGAGATTGAACTCAGGTTATCAGGCTTGGTTGTAGGTACCTTTATATACTGCGCCATCTCCCTGGCCCATATACTTGTTTTTACTATGTTAGACATGTTGTCTATAAATTAACAACACTATGTTATTTGCATGCCTTACGTATGTACTCAGGCCAAGTCTTAGATGGGCAATATGGGTTTCAGAAATCTTTCTACTGTCACACATCCCAAAACATCTTCAAGAGAAATGAAAACAGTATTGTAATAGATGGACAGCTCTGTGCTTTCAAGAGAAACCCCTGAAGGCCATATGTAACTATAGCTTCTAATTAAATTGAGTCATACATTTAAACACAAATGCATACTTACTATTATTTGTAATATTGGCTAAAAAAAATCACAGATTTGTATAATAGAAAAAAATGGGGCCAATTAATAGAGTCCTCCCAAGGAGAACGGGAGACCTTGAGGCAAAATTCTAATTTAATTTTTTTGGTGTCCACTGATTTTTCTCTCATTTCTTCAATAACATTCTCTAAAACATTAACTATATGTTTATAAATGAAAATCTCAGTACTCACTGAACTTCAGAAAGGGTTTTTGCATTATGTGTCATGGCCTTTCATCTTTTCTGCCTCTAGGGGGAAGTGTGTTTTCAACAATTCTGTCTTGCAGAAGGGATTTTCTTGTGCCTGAAGGCTTCACTGTGGTATTCCTTAGTGTGACCTCGGAATTGGCTGGGCAAGATGGAAGGACCTTGGAAAATCTGCAAGGACCTTCACTTCATGAGTTTCAGGCCAGAGTTCTGAGGTGGGGGAACTGTGGAAAAAAATGTCCCAGACATTTTTTTTTTTTAGTACATGTCAAAGAATCATTCTTTGAAATGACACCATAGCTTCTCCATACTGTATGGCTGTAGCCAAAAACCACCTGGACACAAAACTCACTTGACAGAGCTAGAAACAAAACAGTTCTTGGATACTGATGAAAACATTTCTAGATCCTATAAAATGTCTACGAGTTTCTGTAAATCACATTTAACACTAATGTGTTTAGGTTTTCAACTAACTAATTTTATTCCATTGTTTCCTTTGACAATTGAAGTTGATAACTGAATTCTGAATGTGAAAAACATGGCCCTTCCCAACTTCAGTGATTAATTTTTTTTTTTTTGGAGTTGAAAGGAACAGTATTTAAAACCTGAATGCAAGGCTGTTTCTGTTTATCCTTGTTCTTTCTTGCTTTGCTAACATTTATGATAAAAATGTTACAAAAGTTATATTTATCAAGTGGTGTCCAGTTTTACTGTCTGGAAAGCCTGAAAATATATTGCTAAGATAGCATAAGATGGTCCTTGTGTGAGTGTTTGTATGTGTGTGTGTGTGTGTATGTATGAATGTGTGTGAGTATGACTGTGTGTGTTACATTGCATTGAATTAATCATGGGCAAGTAACTCCTGTCTCCAGCTTTCTTTTTTATCTTTTATTGGTGACAGGACCTTGTAAAATGAAGTCACCCAGGCTGGCCTTGGATTATTCTGCAACCCAGGCAGCCTTTGATATCCTCCGGAGTAGCTTGTGCCACCAGGCCCAGCTATAAGAATATTACTTATAGTAATATTACTTATATTAATATTAATTAATTAATTAATATTAATACTTACAGTAATATTACTTATAGTGGGAATCAGCTTGGTTGCCAACCCTGTTTTACATAGTATTTAGGTGACTTTTCCCAATAGAAAAATATCCTCAGGAGACAAAGAGGTGTTTAAATGTATCATGTACATTCTTTGGGTTACATTTCTTCTTTTTTTCTGGCCTAAGAAGGCAGAACTACGTGATAGTCACACATGATAGTTTCAGCTGGTTGCTCAAAGAATTCCGATGGAAAGTAAACAAATCCTCCCAACATCCACAATATGTAAACAAAAACCTCCCAACATCATTCCAATAGGCTTGTATTACTGTTAATAATTTTGCGCTTATTGGCATTGGAAGACCTTTCTTTTAAAATCTCAGCTTCTGTTCATTTGGAATCTGCAAGGATGTGAAGAACAAATACACGGACAGCAACTTTGTAGCCCCCTTCCCTCTGTTTCTGGGCTGTTCCACAATTTCCTGTTGTCTATGCTCTTTAACAACAGGCTGGAAGCTGAGTGCTTTTACCCAAAGGCCACAGGGAGGCTATGGTGCTAGCTATAACGTAAGCGCACTGCCCTGCTGTTGACCCAAGGGCGAGGCTGGGCAGCGCCAGAGATTCGAGAGGCACTCCATACCCGGTGCCACTGAAATCCCAGACTCTTCCAGTGAGCCCACACCAAACACTGCAGAATCATACCGCTCTTGGCTGGTGTTACCCAGACACAGGGCATACCGGGTAGTAATAGGAAACCTCCGTCCTTCACGTCTCCTGGCAACCAGTTGAAATCCACTAAGACCCTCGGAATCCAGGATTTAGCTGTTGTCTTTTTTTTTTCTTAAATAACTATGACTCTATAAACAAATTGTTTGCTCTCCCAAGAGTTCAGGAAGGATTTAATTGCTGCAAAGAGCTAAATGTCAGTTTCCAATGTAGGTGGATAACTTTTCAGAGTTAAATTTTATATATCTACCTCTCTTAGTACTGGTTACTAATTAAATAAACAAAATCTCACCTAGGATTTAGAAGCCCCTACTTACAGCGAAGGCTTAGGAGTCACTGTACAACTGAAATCTAAACGGTTCGGCTCCGGGTATGAAAAGTTACCCTAGATTGTGTTTTCACTGCTAGAAAGGGCGACGGAGAGAGGGCTGCTAGCCAGGAGAAGGGCTGATGCCTGGATTTGTCATGTCCTCGGACACCTCGATTTATCACTTCATAGTCACAAAAAGTGCAAGGACACTTCTGGGGGCTCATAACTATTAAAACAAAAACAAACAAACAAAAAAATCAAAACAAAAACCTGGGGCAGAGGGTGAAGAATCGCGTTCACGTTCCTGCCGAAAGAGGGCGTAAGTTCAAGACTAATAGAATTCAAGCACACACTTTCGCCCAGCCAAATGAAAGAACATTTAGAAACATTTTAAATTAACTTTAATTTGCGGGGCTTTGGTGTCAGAACTAACTTGTGCAACACAGCTTGTTCTCTCTGTAAATGTCTTTGCTGCGTGACCACGAAAAGAGGGTGCAGGGTCCCTCTGGACCTGCGCAGCTGCTTGGTCCTGAGACGCGCCTCTGGTCTGAGACTTCTCTACAATCTTTACCACTCCGTCTGCGTCGTTGTGGTAGCTGTCACCAGTTGGGAAGACTAGGTCTCCTGGGCAGGACCTTTCTGGGCATCCCAGAATATCGGGCACCCTGGAAAAGAAGCGCTGGGGTTGGCAGACTGCTTTTCGGTACTTAGGGATTCTCTGGGGAAGATTTGGGGGCGATGGGGGGAGGGAGTCCCTTTTAGTTGCCTGGTTTTGGAAATAGTACCTTTTGGGTGGTGCTTTTCGAGATCCGCGACACTTCCCGGAGCGGAATCATTTCCCCAGCATCGGAAGCAACAAGTTTCGCTTTTCTGGTCTCGGTGACCCCGCGGAGGGGCTGCGCACTGGGACACGGTGACTCTGTGCCCACTGTGATTCTAGCGTGTCCAACAGCCCAGAGGGAGGGCACCCACGCCGGGTGGGGGAAGGACCGGTGCGGGCACCGCTCAGGCCACATGGACCTACGAGGTCTGCAAATGAATCTTCCTGCACTGGGACCTTGTTCCTTGTTCCCTGACCTTGCTCCAGGGATCAGAAAGGTCAGGTGCGGGACAGGACTGGGCGCATCCAGACGGAACGTGGCCAGATCCAGAAAAGAGGTGAGAGCCTATGGAGTTTTGCAACGAAGCCACCCGTTTGGAGAAACGCCTCCCCTCCGGTTTTTTTTTTTTTTTTTTTTTTGCAGCGTGTGTGTATGCGTGTGTGTTTTGTGCATGTGCGCTCGCTCATTTCTTTCCTTTCAAACATATATACATTAAAAAAAAAACTCGAGACAGCAGAGAGCGGAGCCAGGGAGAGGCGGGGACGTTAGAGTAACGCTGCGCCGTGAGGGCTCCCGCGGGTGTAGACGTGGGCGGCTGCGGCTTTGAGCCAAAGCTGAACACCGGCAACCAGTGGGGCTTAGGGACCCGGCAACCTCGAGTAGGCCAGGGGTGCGGGGAGGAGCCCTGATGTAAGAATGTTAATGAGAGGCTCCCCCAGCCCAGCCCCCACCCCTCCCCACCCCCACCCACCCCACCCGTTGCAAAGACAAGCCCGGCCTCGGCGCGCCATGTGTGGTAACGCGCTGCGCCGCTGCCACGCTATTTAAACACCGGCTATGGATCCAGAAACCCGCGCGAATCAATGGGATCAAACGCGAAGGAGGTGCACCGTCAATTACAAGCACTTGGACAAGTTTAACTTTTTTTTCTTTTACAAATAAGGCCTTCAAACGCAACCTTAGCGACGCCCAAATAAGAAGCTACCTCTAAGCCAAATAGCCTATGTGCAAAGGGAGGGAGAATATATATATATATTTATAATAAGTCTATATGTATATTACAGACGCACAGGTTTACATTCTGTGAACTTTTTTTTTCTTTGCTTTTTTTTTTTTTTTTAAACCTAGGGACATTGCAGAGGACTCTTCCTCTCTGTCTTTTGGCGCTTTAAGGAAGGGGGTATTCTGTTTTCTTGGAGCGCCCAAGGGGGCGCAGGGACAGAGGAAAGACAAGCGAGGGGAAGGAAAGGGGCAGGGTGGGTGGGGGGCAGAGGGCGAGCCGGCGGCCAGGGCGAGCGCTCGCTGGCAACACGATGCGGTCCTTGCTGCTGTTCACTTTCTCGGCGTGCGTGCTGCTGGCCCGGGCGCTGCTGGCTGGCGGCGCGAGCAGTGGCGGCGGGGACACCCGGCCAGACAGCAGGCGCCGGGAGAGAGAGGCGCTGGCGGCTCAAAAGATCGAGGTGCTTGTGCTATTGCCCCGGGACGATTCCTACTTGTTCTCGCTGGCCCGGGTGAGGCCGGCCATCGAGTACGCGCTGCGTAGCGTGGAGGGCAATGGCACCGGGAGGAAGCTGCTGCCACCGGGCACTCGCTTCCAGGTGGCCTACGAAGACTCGGACTGCGGCAATCGTGCGCTCTTCAGTCTGGTGGACCGCGTGGCGGCGGCGCGCGGCGCCAAGCCGGACCTCATCCTGGGGCCCGTGTGCGAGTACGCGGCGGCGCCGGTGGCCCGGCTGGCGTCTCACTGGGACCTGCCGATGCTGTCCGCAGGAGCTCTGGCCGCCGGTTTCCAGCACAAGGACACGGAGTACTCGCACCTCACGCGCGTGGCGCCCGCCTACGCCAAGATGGGAGAGATGATGCTCGCTCTGTTCCGCCACCACCACTGGAGCCGCGCTGCCCTGGTCTACAGCGACGACAAACTCGAGAGGAACTGCTATTTCACCCTCGAGGGGGTCCATGAGGTTTTCCAGGAGGAGGGTTTGCACACGTCTGCCTACAATTTCGACGAGACCAAAGACTTGGACCTGGACGACATAGTGCGCTACATTCAGGGCAGTGAGCGAGGTGAGCAGGAGCGCGACAGGGGTCCAGCCGTTCTCGGCGGCTTCTCCCCACAAACCCCACCAAGTCAGTCTTCTGCAAACCCCACCCTTCCCCGTAACCCGAGGACCGGTAGAGGTTGCGCGCAGGGGCTTGTTCAAGTGTGAGCTGTCTGACCCAGGGGGCGGGTGGAGGGTAGCCCATAGCGGTGGAAGGGGTGTTCCTAGACAGTCCCGGGGAGGTGGACCTGGCCAGTCGAGGGGACATCTGAGCTGATTGCTAGCGCGTTCCCAGGTATGACAGGTGTGGCCAAACACCAAGGGTTTTCCCCTCTTCGACAGCTCTGGGGCCCCATGCGTTCAGGAATTCGTTACCCTATTCATTGCTGTCGCGCGCCCCCTGGTAGGGCCACAACATCTTGGGACGGCAAGCAGCGGTTCGCAGCTTCTTGACTAGCTGGGGTTCTCCTGGCTTCCACAGACCCCAGGTCTCCTTTCAAAGCCTTCCTTTTAAATTCCTGCCATATCTCCTTCTAGAGTCTTATAAACAAGCTTCTGTACAAGCACCAAAGTGCGTCGCTGTGTCTGAATTCAGGCGACATTCACTTCCCCCGGGCGCTTTGGGCTTCGCAGCCTCTGAAAGCGCGCAGAGCTGAGCTTGGGCGGAGCGCGCGCGCCGGAGGATCGTGCGCAGAGCTTTCTTCCCACGGGTCCCCTTCCCGGCCCTTTCTCCGCAAGTCGCTGAGGGTTTGGAACAATAGCCAAACTAGACAGAGAGCTCAGTACTAAGGATTATGATCATGGCTACAGGGAGCGTGGGAATCCCACACTGCTGCCCAGGTTTCTGTCGTGTAGAGAGAGAAAGGAGCCCGACCCCAGCATAGGGCAGTGATTCCGGACGTCCCGGTTGGGGTTCACAACATTCGAGAAATCCCGCCTTTGTTTCCCCTTGTTGCGCAGGCGCCCAGATGTCCTCGGTATTATCCCCCCCACCCCCGCCGCAAAGCTTCCGATGTCCCCTGGTGAGACCTAAGGGGAGCGGAGCCAAGCCAGGCACCTGGCCTGCGGGGCGTTGGTCGCAATTCGAATGCTGGGGACCTGGGCCTGGCTGTTGCGGGACAGCGTACTACTAAGCTTGCAGGCTCAGAACAGGTGAGGTGGGCAGAGGAAGCTTCAAGAAGGGGGCCACAGCTTCCCGTCCCCACTCTCCAGTTTGGTTACTCCACAGTGCGACAGGACAAGTTTCGACCTAAGGACTCCAGGCTCTCTGCGCAGAATCACTGTTAGGTGCGCAGGCAGGGCGTTGGTTATATAAAAGGAAAGTTCTGTCCTGTGGTGACAGATTTGCCTGTGCTAAGCGAGAAACCCACATCTACTTTTTTTCCCCCACTCACAGTCCTCAGGATACTGCACCCTCTCGCGGTACTGTGTACTGGTACCCCTTCAGTTCTGGGCTTCCAGAGCCTTAACTAAAAGCTGGAGACTTCCCAGAGCAGGCTGGGAATGGGGGCGTGTCCTCACGCCTGGCTAGATCCGAGCTTTGCAAATCCTGTCATTGCCTTGCTGAACCCAGAAAGGCCATGACCTTTGTATGATGGCCTGGGATGAGAGGCCTGAGATTTGTCGGTTCTGCTGTGGGGCCTTTGAGGTGCACAGTGCTCTTGGAACCTTGGTGCTGGGAAGGCCACAGGGTGACATTGGGCTCGGGGTTTGGGGAGGCTGGTGTGTTTTGGTTTAAAAGGACTCCAGCCTGCGTATTGTCATTATTATTGTTTTTAAATACACCAAGCTTGGTAGATGTACTTAGATCTCCTCACGTTTCTTTCTCGTTCAATTTAGCGGTGCAAGTTTGTTAGTCTGGTGTGTGTATTTTATAGGTGAAAATATTACGATCTTAGGATTCTCTAAAATCCGTGTCACCCGCAATAAGGCAGATTCTCTGACATATAAATAAGAATAGTTGCTTTTCCAGGCTGTCCTCTATTTCTTACTCTTTGTAGCTCTCAGGGTGCTTCCTGTAGACCTGAATCTCTACTTCACCGTGGCCGCTCAAGGTGTTCAGTAATAGGTGTGTAGTGTATGGTTTCGGTGGAGTTTGTGACTCAGGCACTTGCTAGCTGTCGAGATCCTGGGATGTTAAACTGTACCCCAGCCTCTTCAGGTCAAGCGGGCTTCCTGCACAGTCACATCTTGGGGATGCTGGAAAGGTTTAATGAACGAGGTTACAAGAATTCCCTGAAACAGTGCCAGACCCACGCAGTAAATGTGTGGCTTCATTGTAGTGGGTCGTTGTGCTATGTTTGGTAATAACCACCCTTACCTAGGAGGGGAAGCCACGTCCTAGAAAGAACTCTAGGTAGAGAAGCCCACACCTCTGGATTCAACTTCTCTGCCTTGTAAGGCACTGGACTTGAAACAAGGAGCTAGAGATGAGAATCAGGCCTCTTCCAACTGCTATTCGGACCTGGAGTCCTATTCCTCCAAATGTAAAAGTGTATCTGACAGCACTTCCTGTCACAGAGCATCTAATTACATTTCTGGGCCAGGGCATGCGTTAGAGAGTCCCTCCCCCTCCTCTTTTGGAAAGACCATTTCAACTTTAAAATCAAATTATGGATATCTGAATATCTCCAAAGATAAAAAGTGACCTGCGGCCATCTCAGCAATGTGACTACATTTTCTTTTGGCTACGTAATGCACTTTAGAAAGAAAAACTAAACAAACAAACAATTTCCCCCAAACCCCCAAATTATTCTTATCTCCTAGGGGGTTTGTCATCTAAGTCAATTGAAAAACTTAAAAAATCTAATATAATGAAAACATACACCTGAGTATGTGTGATTTAATAAAATAACGTCGATCTCACAGCATGTGTTTATATTAGCAGCTAAAATGATAACGCAGAATCAATTTCAACTCCCAGGCATGAGGGCAATAGAGAGTTTCTCAAGAGCCAGCCAGCATCAGGCAGCCTTGAGGACTAGGGAGCAGTAGATGAGACGTCACAGGGGGTTGTTGGGCTGTGCATCCTGGTTATTACAAGATGGTGACCAGTTTTTATATACAAGGTAGGGGGCAGAGAATACTGAGAGTGATTTTTGAATATTCAGGTCTTTTAAAAAAAAGTTTCTGTGTTTAATTACAGATAAAACTTTGAATTTTCAAGGAAATATTATTTTTCCCCCAGAAATTCCACTGAAAACTAGACAAGGTGATTCTTTAGGCTAAGGTAGCTAAACTATGCTAACCTTCTATAGTCAGGAATGGTCTATTTCATGTACTAAAGGTAGTCTACAAATACTTTAGGATGTCAGTGCCAGAAATACATACATACATACATACATACATACATACATACATACATACATATATACATACAATCTTAGATGGGTGTGGTGACACATGCTTGTAATCCCAGCATCCAGGAAGCTGAGATAAAAGGCTAGTGAGTTCAAGGCCTTCTTGAGCTATAGAATGTGCCCTTTCCCAAAGTATAAACAAACAAGCAACAGACAAATACTTTGTATTTAGTGCCAGATTTATTTATACAATTGACTACTGATCTTGATACATCACAGGAAATGATACATTTACTATAAAAAAGACAAAAATACATTTTTTAAACAGAGAAACGTTAGTGTGTTGTGTTTATGTGCTTTCTAAGATGCCAAAGTAGAAGTAACTTATACAAATAATTTTGTATAAAAACTAGTTTTATTCTTTTTAGCTATGTTATGTATTTGGGCCTGGAGAGTAACCACAGAGATAGAAATACTTAATGAATACAAGAACAGCTTACTTTTAATACTCTGGTCTAAATGGCCAAATAATTTGTCAGCAGAATTTTATATCAAAGAGCCCTCACAAATCTCCCTAGCATACAGTACTGGGAAGAAAAGTGCTAAAGGCCACAGTGTAGAAGTTACAAGGGTCTTTGGAGTTGATAGAGCTTTGGAACCAGCAGAAATAAGGGCATAGTCTGCATTTTGTAAATGATATTTTTTACTATGTAGTATAGGAACATAGAAATCTGCTTTTGAAAAAAAATAAGTTTGTATTTTTATCCATTAGGTATGTATCTATGTAAAGTTAACTCCTCCCCACCAAATCTCCCAAAAATCCCCATGTGTTGTCTAGAAAAAATGCTTCTTGTCCCCTACTGCTTGTTTCAGACTTTCCAGAGCATCACTTCTGAGTCTTGTGCCTGTTCCATAGCAATTTTTTTTAGAGCTCCAAATTATGAGCTATTTTTGACTCTTTTTTTCAGTTGTAGGTTTTATCTCATGGCATGCTTGTGGAGAATGGTTGAATTCTCATCTGCCATCTGCTAACTACACATGCAAGTGTGTTCTTCTGTTCTTTCCTCCAGTGTGATCATGTCAACATTTTTGTTTAGCTCAGTACTGATATTCATTTTACTTTCTAAATGCTGTTCACAGTGAATCCAGTTGAGAATAAATATTTATATATACTCATATATATAAATATTCACATATATACAAATATATATGTATATATATATGTATATACATATACATACACACACATATACTTTTTGTTTGCTTAGTCTGCTGTGGAGTTACTGTAAAAATCATAGGTAAATTCTCTATTCCAGGCTCCTGAGCTGTTTCAGCTTAGTCATTTTCTTGGCATTCTGTTCTATCATCATCCTGAGCACTTTGTTTAGTGTTTCCCAAGACTTCCATTAGCTATCATTTTGAGCTTGTTCGCTGTGTGCTCTCTTTTCCTTGTTGGTGGACCATGTCATCCAGGAGCTTCCTAGGGATGTGTAGAGATATGTTTGAAACGTTTCATGACTGAAAACGTATTCGTTGTACCCTTTTACATAATTGTACAGTTCTGAACAGAACTCTATGTTATACGTAAGTTTTCCTCCTCAAAATTTGATGGTATCACTCCACTGGCTTCTAGATTCTGAAGTTGCTGTGAGTTTGAATTGATTCATTCTGGACTTAAGAGTTTATTATCACCACCCCATCCCACAACATTTTTTAGAATCCTTTT